CCTGCTGAGAGATCAGGACAAACATTTGTTTTGATGCGTTCCTCCGGGCTCAGCAACCCACATCCTTTAAACGACAGGCAAGCGCTTGCACTTTCAGTTTAGATCCCCGGCCGTTTTTCTCCTGATTTCCTAGAAACGCCTGCTTGAAAGGAAAAGAAGTTATGCGGCTCAGTTGCTCGCGGCACGAAGGAATGCACAGTCCTCGCTCCTGAGCCAGCAGCCGGCTTTCTCTTCCCTGCGACCCCTCGACGGAACGTCTCCTCTCTCCCGCGATCAAGGTGAGCTCTCCACGTGTCGATCTGCTTGTCAGACACTTCAGGTTTAAAGCGAAGCTAGTCCGAGGCGAGATCTTGTCGATGGGGTCGCGACTGAACAACAACAACAACAAAAGTCTGAGGCCAATGTGATGGTTTTTTAACCCCGCTCTGCTAGTCACAGAAAACCAGCCCTTCTGGCTGAAGCCGCTTGTAAACTCTTCCTTTATTGTTTTGGTATTACGCAACGGGTGGGAATAACAACCGGTGGTAGACGGTGGCGGGCGCTTTCCAGATCTCCCGAAAACAGCCTCGTTAGGATTTCTTCCCCCCATCCCCTGCCACATATTTTGTTAGTCTTTAAGGTGCTAGTCTTTAAGTTGGGCAGTTCGAGATCCAAGTGCCGCCTGACGGAGTGAGCTCCAGTCTCTGTCCCCAGCTCCTGCCAACCTAGCAGTTGGAAAGCAAGAAGTTGCAAGTAGATAAATAGGTACCGCTTCGGTGGGAAGGGAACAGCGTTCTGTGAGCCTCGGGCTTTAGTCATGCTGGCCACATGACCACGGAAAATCTTTGGACAGCGCTGGCTTTTCGGCTTGGAAGTGGAGATGAGCACCGCCCCCTCCAGTCGATTTGGAGCGAGGGAAACCTTTACCTTTAAGGTGCTCCTGGACTCTTGCTCTTTTCTACTGCTACAGACAGGCTAACAGGGCTACCTATCTTGTTACTGTGATGTTACTACCACCAATGCCCCCTCTAAGCTGTGGCATCTTGTGAGGAGAAATCCTACTTTGTGAGCTCCTGTCATTAAAGTTGTGAGCAGGAAATTTGGCGACTGCATGAATTAGTTTGCTCTGGAGCCCTCCTTCCTGAGCGAAGACAAAAATGTGTGAGCCGGAGGCTAAAAAACTGTGAGCTGGCTCACACTAACTCAGACGGAATACTGACTACCATCATTTTATTTTGGCTTGGTAACCTTGAGTCAGGGAATCTAGAGAGTAAAATGGTTTGGAGTAGGGAGGACTTTGAAGGGAGAGGGGATTATTTTATTTTATTGGCTTTATTGATCCTCCGTTTTTTTTCTCTGTGAGACTCAGGGTGGATTATGCAGTGTAAATCAGTGGGACGTCCGGTAAGCAACATAATTCAACTAGAATTGTCAAAGGATGAGATGAAACCAAGCATAAGGATTAGCAGGACACATTAAACCGTGCAGAAATGACATAGGAAGATAGTATCGGAGAAGTTTAGTTTATCCAGAATACTCTTATATTTTATAAATTAGTAAATATGATGCATATAAGTGTACATGAAAATGTGTGAAAAAACCTGAACTTTCTTTCTTGGAAGATTTGGCATCAGATTTATTATCTGGATTATATAGATTTTTATAGGACAAGAGGTAGTTCATTAGCATCCCCTGTTCTAGAATTTTTAAAATCTAAATTACTCCCTCAAATGTTGTACGGTGCTCCAGTCTGGGGATTTGGAAATCTATACCCATTAGAAGGTATGCAAAATAAATTTGCACATATGATGTTGGAAGTTCCTCATTCCACATCATCAGTTTTGGTGAGATCAGAGTTCGCTTTGCCACCGATATCGATAATAGTTCATCAACTTATTATATATTTCTGGTTGAAGGTCTTTTTCTCCCAAACATCACTTTTAGTAATATTGGCATATGAAATAAGATTGCCAGATCCCAGGTCTGGGCGGGGGTTTCCCCGTTTTTGGGTGCTCCAATCCACAGCTGGCAAGCTAGCCAGTGGGGGGAGCCCTGCCCCCAAGCCCCACCCCCTGGAGCGGCCACCCATGGCCACCCCTCTCCCTCCCCTCCTGTGAGATTTAAAGGGCTTCAGCTGATTGGTGGGGAGCACGTAGCCCACCAATCAGTCGGAGGGCGGTTTATTTATTTATTCATTTCATTTATTCCCCGCCCTCCCTGTGATGTCCACTGTCTAGGACAGATCTCAGTCACACTCTCAGTCAGGGTTTAATCGAAGAATACAATGTTTATTCCACAAACCTTGTGCCAGCTATCGGTACACGCTCACAACTGTACTGGCTCTCCAAACAAGTAAACATAAAACCCCACTCTGCTAACGCCCTGCAGGTGGTCATAACAAACTCTTTTGCGTATGTGAAACCGTCTCTTTCCAGTTTGATTTTATAACAGGTATATTAGTGCTGCCAGTTTTCTAGAAAATGTTTGCTGCGAAACCCGTTGGTGAAGTCCGTGGGCACTTGCCCTTTTCTGCACTCACAGTTTACGGCACAGTATCCGAGCAGTCAAGCCTTTAAACTTTATATATATATCTTTATAATTTTATTGAAGCATTTTACAGTATTACAGAGTAGTCCCAAATTAGTGCCTCCAATGTGTGTGTGTCAAAATAATGTTATTCCTCCATTACAGACTTTGAATTTCCTTTGTGTATGTGGAACCGTCTCTTTCCAGTTTGATTTTATAACAGGTATATTAGTGCTGCCAGTTTTCTAGAAAATGTTTGCTGGGAAACCTGTTGGTGAAGTCCGTGGGCACTCGCCCTTTTCTGCACTCTCAGTTTACGGCACAGTATCCGAGCACTCAAGCCTTTAAACTTTATATATATATCTCCCTTATATATAAAGCCGTAGTGGGTTCCAACGTTCCAAAATGCACACCTTTAGTGTTTGGCCGCAAGAACTGTCAGTCAGAAGATGCTGGCTGGGCTGACTGGCTGCTTTGTGTAGTCCCGTTCACGTCAGCCTCGTTTGGTTCAGTCTGCTCAGTCTGCTCTGGAACTCTGACAGGAGAGGACCATCTGCAGATTGAACGCAGGGACAGGGCTTCTATGGCTGGGCCGCTTACGCCCACTCTTCTCTGATTGGGCCAGTGTTTCAAGGTCATTTGCATACTCCAATCCACACCTCAAACTCCCCCCCACCGCAAAACAGTTGGAACT